TAGAGAAGTAATTTTTCTATACTCAGTGGCAGTTTGCAAGGCTTATGTGACCGAAGCACTTCTTAATGACTTTGAAAAAAGAAATTTTTTTCAGCACTTGGGCTTTCCCGGATAAAAGCCATTGCAGAAAGGACAAGACAAAGTTTAAGAGGAGAAATGACAACTGATAATTTTGTCTCAGATCACCTTCCATGTGGTCCCTTTATCTTCACACATTGGTTGGAAGAATGCCATCATATCTCTTGTCTCGTAATTTCACCAAATCTCCCAGATCCCACCCACAAATAAAACCAACAAGTAATTCTTGGAATCCGACCCTTTGGTCCTTTACCAGATAAATACCTATTAATTCTATATGAACCAAATTCTCCTTTTAAGCCAGCAGCCTTAATCATATGGTTTATTAAAAGACTTTTAGTGCTATCCATGCCACAGGATGTTTATAAAAACCAAATCCTGGTTATACAGATATAAAATGGTCTTCAAATAGTGCAATATGTAGCCTAATGTTGATATATTAGTTGTAACAAGAAATGGATTTGCTGAAATTTGGGGCAAAAATTACATAGCTTTCCTCCATCATCTAACTGCATTAAGACCTGAGGTTATTAAAAGTTGATTTTAAGCAAGTTGGTAACTTCTGTACTATTTCACACATAACATTTACATTTTTTAAAGATGCAGCTTCTGACCTATTAACTAAGCATGCTATTTAAGTTAAAATAACACATTCAAATAATTTGCAGCCAGTTCAGTTTTGATTAAGCCACTTCTAGAGAAAGAAATATATAGACGTCACTGATGGAATCCTCATGCACCTGAGGGTTTTGGGTGCCAAATGATTTAAATGATCTCCCTTTTATGTTATAAGAGACACATACTTGGCCTTAACAGTAAAGAATGGTTTCCATGCTAAACTTCCAGGAGAGGTGGCTCAAGCAGCCGTTCCTAATTTTTCTACCCCCCCGAAAAACTATTCTAACCAGCATCAGCTGAAAATGATGAGCTGGCTCTCTAATCTTCGCAAGGTTATGATGAAATTTACCACCTCAGCAGGGCTAGGCAAGAAAAAGGGAACTTCGCTCCCAGCTCTCCAATAGCCAACAAGTGGTTGCCCGGTGACATGCAACTTTGTACCCTTCTCTAGAACTTGAAGGAACCTGTGCTCTATTTAGAATGTATTAAGCCAAAGGGGCAATATAAAAGTGTAGAAAAAGAACTGAAGTGGAACATAGTTTTGACCAGTTGCTCTAAAAATCTAGGTACAATACATATCTCACGAGCTGCTCTAAGACATTTCATATCCACTGAATGCCTTTCTGATGAAACCAGCAGAACACCCTACCTTAGGAAAACCGCATCCAGTATCATAAAAGAAAATCCACATTTCAATGCACGTGAAGGAAAACAGGCAGCTGCTGCAAAAGCTTCATCTGAGGCTTCCCTAGTCTCTACTGGGAGTTCATCTCAGATTTAAGCACAAGACAAGAAAGTCATTGTGGAAACAAGAAGATTGATTGTGGAATTGATCTCCCACGGGGATTAGACAGGGATTCGAAATTTTCCAAACCAGGCCCAGATCAACTGTAAATTAGAAAGACTTTGGGCCCTGGGCTTTGATTTTTCAATACAAGCTCTGAAAATTCTGCCCTTGGCTCTGTCTAGCCTGAAACCCCCGCTTAAGCAGGAGAGGCAGATTTATAGAGTGAGGGTTTCCAAACAGACGGAAAGTGATCCCAATCTGCCCTCCTCCTTCTCATCTTCCCCTATGGAATTCTTGCACGTTTAGCTGACGAGGGGCATGCCTTTTGCCCTCATCTTTCCCATCACTTGATTTCTCTCCAGTTCCAGGAGGAGGAGTCGCTCTGCTGGCTGCAAGCCAGGAAAAGGGTGCGGATTTACCAGTGGGGAATCCCTGGCTCCCCCACCACACAGGCAGGCGGTGAGTTACAGCCAGGTTCGGAAAGGTTCTATCAGAGAGGAGACTGGAAAAGGCTTCCGTGCCCTGGCCAAGCTGCCCTTCCAGGGATGCCCGCAGTCTGCCCAGGGTGGGGCGCTTTGCGGGAGGACTCCCCGCCCCCGTCCCCGCCCTCCCTCCCCTGCTCCACGCCTCACCTTCGTGGTGGAAGCT